TAAAGGTATTGATAGATGAACAGAAATTTATACTTTTAGTGTAGTCTATTTTTCCAATCTTTCTATCTCTTTTTTTTTAATGGTTCCAGCGATTGAACTCCAGACCTTGTGCTTGCAGGGCAGGCACTGGAACCACTGAGCTAAATCCCCTGCCAATCTTTCTCTTTTGATTAACACTTTTTATGCCAGTGTGAAATCTTTTGTGTACTTTAAAGTTATAAGAACATTATCCAATATTTTTTCTGGAATATGGATTATTTACCTGGATTTCATGTGTGTGTGTGTGTGTGTGTGTATGTGTGTGTGTGTACTATGAAATTAAGACCAAGTTTCCTTTTCTGTCCATTTATATCCAGCATGATTTATTGGAAAAAGTCTTCCCTGGGCTAGTCTACAGTTCTACCTCATTTATAAATCAAAGGCTCACATCTGTGCTGACCTGATTGGTTATGATTTGTCTATCTTGGTGCCATTATACTTTTTCTCATTCACTCTATCTGTACAATACATCTTGATTTTCATTGGAATAATTTATATAAACTTGTTCTTATGTACAGGGAGTGAGCCCTTAGAAAGGACAGTCAACCAACCAAAGCAATTCACAAATATAACAATCAGAAGCTTGTATATTACATATTTTAAATTAGTAACTCAAGAATCAAAACTACTATTTATGCTTTGACCCCTCCCTGCCATTCCTTTGCATAGTTTCTTTCTCCTCCATGACTTCTGTGGTCTCTTTCTTTGATTGGTAAAGACATCCCTTTACCAGGAAGTATTAGTGAGCTTTTCTGTTACTGGAGACAATACCCAGCACTCACACATTGGAAGAGGAGAGATTTAATTTAGTTCATGGTTACAGGAATCTATGAGACAAAATGAAAGCAGTTCAACAAGAGAAATTCATAGCTGTGAATGCCCACACTAGGGAAACAGACTGAGCTCAAATAAGCAATCTAATGCTGAATCTTAAGCTCCTAGAAAAAGAAGAGCAAGACAAACCCAAAGTTCATGCAAGTTAGAAAATTATAAAGATCAGAGCAGAAATCAATGCAATGGAGACTAAGAAAAGGATACAAAAAAATCAACAGATTGAAGAGTTTCTTTTTTGAAAGAATAAATAAAATTGATAAACCCTTAGCCAACCTTATTAAAAAAAGGAAAGAAAAGGCTCAAATCCATGCAATTAGGAATGAAAATGGTGAAGTCACAACAGATCCAACAGAAATCCAGAGGATCATCAATACCTACTTCAAGAAACTGTACTCTAATAAAATGGAAAACACAGAAGAAATGGACAGATTTCTAGATACATATGAATTACCAAAGTTGAATGAAGAAGATATAAAAATTCTAAATATCCCAACTACAATCAGTGAAATTGAAAATGTAATTAAAAATTTACCAACAAAGAAAAGCCCAGGTCCTGATGGCTTCACTGCTGAATTCTACAAGACATTTAGAGAAGAACTATTACCACTACTCTTTAAACTTTTCAATGAAATCGAAAGGGAAGCAATACTTCCAAATTCATTCCTGGAAGCAAGTGTTACTTTGATTCCAAAACCAGGGAAAGACCCAACCAAAAAAGAGAATTACAGGCCGATCTCACTAATGAAGATATATGCAAAAATCCTCAGTAAGATACTGGCAAACAGAATACAGAGGATCATCAAGGAGATCATACACCCTGACCAGGGCAGATTTATTCCAGGAATGCAAGGATGGTTCAACATTCACAAACCAATAAATGTAATACACTATATTAATAGAGCCAAGGACAAAAACCATATGATCATCTCAATAGATGCGGAAAAAGGATTTGACAAAATCCAACACCCATTCATGATAAAAACCCTGCAGAAAATTGGAATATATGGTCTTTACCTCAATTTGATAAAGGCTATCTATGAAAAACCAATAGCCAACATCATAGTAAATGGTCAAAAACTGAAAACCTTCATGCTAAAATCAGGAACAAGACATGGATGGCCACTATCACCACTCCTGTTCAACATAGTTTTGGAAATATTAGCCACAGCAATTAGACAAGAGAAAGAAATAAAGGGAATAAAGATAGGAAAGAAAGGAGTTAAACTGTCATTATTTGCTGACAATATGATACTCTACATAGAAGACCCAAAAAACTGTGCCAAAAGACTTCTAGACTTAATCGACAGCTTCAGTAGAGGACCTGGGTACAAGGTCAACCCTCAAAAATCAATAGCCTCCTTGTACACAAATAACAGACTCCCAGAGAGAATTTAGGCAAACAATCCCTTTCACAATAGTATCCAAAGAAAAATGAAATATCTAGGAATCAATCTAATGAAGGAAGCAAAAAGACCTGTACATTGAGAACTACAACACTCTGAAAAAAGAGATGGAAGAGGATATCAGAAAATGGGAAGACATTCCTTGTTCCTGGGTAGGAAGAACCAGTGCAAATGGCCATACTTCCAAAACTGCTACACAGATTGAATGCAATCCCAATTGAAATTCCAAAAGTGTATTTCACACAACTAGAGAAAACAATCCAAAAATTCATTTGGAATCAGAAGAGACCTAGAATAGCAAAAGCAATTCTAGGCAATAGAGGCATGACAGGGGGTATCACAATCCCCAACTTGAAACTATAATACAAATCTACTGTGATAAAACAGCATGGTACTGGCAAAGAAACAGACCCGAGGATCAGTGGAATAGATTAGAAAATGCAGAAACAACTCCAGACATTCTCAGCTACCTCATCTTTGACAAAGGAGCCAACCATCCTCACTGGAGGAAAGATAGCCTCTTTAATAAATGTTGTTGGAAAAACTGGATTTCAACTTGCTAAAGATTAAAACTAGACCCCTATCTTTCACCATGCACTAAACTAAAATCGAAATGGATTAAATATTTAAATATTAAAAACAGAAACACTAAACTTGCTGGAAGATAAGTTAGGTAGAACCCTGGAAGACATTGGCAAAGGAAAAGACTTTATGAACAAAACCTCAGTGGCACAGGAACTAGCACAAAGAATCAACAACTGGGATCTCAACTTATTAAAAAGCTTCTGCACTGCAAGAGAAACCACTAACAGAGCTAAGAGACAACCTACAATGTGGGAAAATTTTTTTTTACCAGCTATTCCCCAGACAAAGGTCTACTATCTAGAATATATAAAGAACTTAAAAATATCTGACCCCCCAAATTTAAAGACCCAATTCAAAAATGGGCATCTGAAATGAACAGACATTTCTCAGACAAAGAAGTAAAAGCAGCAAATAAACATATGAAAAAATGTTCAACATAACTGGTCATTCAAGAGATGTAGATGAAAACAGCACTGAGCTTCCACTTCACCCCAGAAAGAATGGTTGTAAGAAATCAAGAAATCAACTAATAACAAATGCTGGCATGGTCACGGGGAGAAAGGAACCCTTCTTCATCGTTGGTGGGAGTGCAGACTGTTGCAACCACTATGGAAATCAATATGGAGATACTTCAAAGAACTAGGATTAAAAGTTCCATTTGACCCAGATATTCTTCTGCTGGTTATCTTCCCAAAAGAATTAAAAGAATCATACCACAGTGTTATATGTTCACCCACGTTTATAGTGACACAGTTTGTAATAGCTAAAACTTGGAAACAGCCCAATTGCCCACCAACTGGATGGGTTTGTGGATAAAGATGTGGTTTTTTAAATAAAATGGAGTACTACTCAGCCATAAAGAATGACAAACTAGAGACATTTATAGCTAAGTGGATGCACATTGAGACCATACTCTTAAGTGAAATAAATAGGACACACGTGTAAATTTTGAATAGTTTCTCTGGTGCGAAAAACTAAAAGTGCAAATAAGGATCAAAATGTATAATTGATATTGTGAAATAGGAAGAAAAGATCTAAAGGAGTACAGGAAGTGGGGGGGGTAGGGGAAAGGAAAGAAGGGAAAAGAAATAATATGAGAAAAAGAAAAAAATGGAAATAAAGTCTTTGTAAATAGGGAAGGGTGTAGGAGGTGATGGGAGGGCAGGGAAATGGGGGAAAAAATAAGGACCAAGATACATCATGTAAAGATACAAGGTCCCAATGATGAATGTAACTGTATCATATACCTAAAATGTACCAATAAACTTAATGGAAAAAAATTTAGCTCCTGGTTTCAATCCATGGTTGGTTGACTCCAAGGCAGAAACATCATGGCAGAAGGGTGTGGTGGAGCAGAGGTGGTTAGTTCATGGTGGCCAGGGTCAGAGCTGGGTAACGGTGCCAGAGAGGAGGGGGCCCGGGCCCAGACACAGTTCCCAAGGTCATGACTCTATGACCTTCCAACGTGCACCTTGAACTAATCTTCTGGCTGTTTCTTAACCCGATCAAGGTGACATTAGGATTAACAGTCACAGATAGGCACCTTTGTTACTTAGTCTAACTCTTTTTTTTTTTTAACAGTGATAAAATATACCTTTATTTACTTTTTTGAGTCAGAGGGTAGTAAAAAAAATTATTGCTAAAGTAGGTATCCGGGAAACAGAATGGTGCTTTAGAAATTTAGTTACCTTTAAATTTATTTAAACTAAGAGGAAAAGGTCACAATGTTTTCAAGAAATACATACTTGGTTCTTTAAATAACAATTGTGACAAACAGCAGAAAGAATTAAGGACTGCTATGCTTGTGATCCATACAAAACACCAACATTTTGGGTTGTAAATAATTAAAGAAATACCTCACTTTCAAAATACTGTAATAGCCAATACATAGAGGCATGCCTTAGGTGGGCGTAGGAATGCAGTTTAGAAAAGAAAAAAAAGTCACACTGAACCTATACAATTTCTTTAAAATCACTGAGCAAGAAAAGCAACATCGAACTTTCATACTGATTTTACACAATGTCTATACAGTACCTTGACTTAAATCCAAAGTTAAGACTCTCCTCCTTTATTTTCGGCATGGTAAACTTAGATGACTTTTCCCCCTGGATTTTTCCTGGGAGTGGCCTGTTTTACATTTTACTTAAAATAGGGCAGGTTTGGCACTTTTATATTGATGTCACCAATGTTAATATTCCTTGGGATCTCAGGAAGATGCATATTCTTTACAGCTGATACAGCACGGGCTGGAGATCCTGCTAAGCCAGCCTCAGATTTCTCCAGTTTATTTTGTGAATCAATTTCACTCATGTTGGTCTCCAATACCATCCCCCCCATCACCATTTCCGCAAGAATATTGTGAACCTTGTCTACATGGAAAGTTAAATCCAGTTCACAGACATTTTCAAAACCTTTGTCTAATGTTTCCATGAACACTTGAAATAAATCTAAAATGCCAAGTTCACTTTCTGAAGAATCCACACAGAAGACAAAATATAGAGTTGCAGAATGTCTATAATTCAGTTTGTTGTCAGATCCTCCAATTAATAATCCTCCTTCTAGGAAATTACAAACATTTTCATCTCTTTTCGATACCAAATGGAAAGTCGTTCTGATGATTTGTTGTTGTGCATCTCCACTGTGAGGCTGGTAGAACTTGGAGAGCCGAGGCTTGCCCTGGTTGTTGAAAATGAGGATCGCCTTGATCATGGCGGGGCAGGGCTGACCTGGTGGCCTCTGGGGCCGGGGCAGGGGAGGGAAGGGGAGGGGACGCGAGCCTCGCCTCGGGATCTGGCCGACGGTCCTTCCCCCCCCCCCCTTACTGTAACTCTTGTATTTTTCAAATACATATATTTTGATCTATTTTCCAGATTGTACCTTAAATTATTTACTGCTTTTTCCCGATTTCAGAATTTATGTTTGGATCATTTTTCATGAATCTACTGAGACTTCTGAGGTTGAGTGTCTGGGGAGTTCAGGGTCCCCATCTGAAATGGACTATGTTTGTTTTGGGGAGTTGGTGTGGGAAGCATGAATCTTGAGTGGACCTCTTGAAGAAGATGTAACCTGAGGAAAACCGGGGTGTCAGGCACTTGGGCAAGGCCATTCCTGGCTTCTAGCTGGTATGCTTTCATTTCTTGCCTCTTGCAGGTATTTTAGCCCATGATAAAGCCACATTTGGACCTTTCTGTGTTGTGGTATTGTTTCCACACATGATGGGCATAGTCTTGGATTGCAAGAGTAATGGAAAAGGGCAATCAGATGCAAGTTGAGTGCGCTTGAGGTATGACTTCCTGATTTTTCAGCCTTTTGTCCTTTTCCTTCCTTCACCTCTGTTACCTTGGTGTTCTGCAGCAAAGGTCTGTCTCTCCATGACGTACAGTTTAATAAGGCTTTTGCTCTTGCATATGGAGGCATAGACTGGGTCTGACCATGTGGCTTTCTATCTTCTACATGACCTCTCTCTTCCCTCTTTTAAAAGGGTTTTTTTCTCTTATATAGGCTTAATTTTGATCCCTGGATTATTCTGAATCTTAGACTTATTAAGGAATCTTATCCTTGCTTATTGTTTTTGTTAAATTCCGATGGTGCCTTACCTATAAAATGAGCTAAGAGATAAAGGTACAACCACATAGATGGTTCTAAAGGCCAGAGGTCCCTTCATGGCTCTTGAATCCTGGAAGAAAAAGCCTGATCAAGTCACCCTCTTCCTAAATGGGGCAAAGGCGCATGTAGACAGAGGAGGCTTAACAAAGAATGATGAAATCCTTTATTTCTTCCTTCACAGCATACCCTGGAGAGATTTCCAAATCTTATTAAGACACAGGGAAAACCTCTGACAGACACTTGTAAAAAAATGTCCCCTAGAAAAAGACCAAACTGATGTGCCCTTGAGAGATGCAGAGACATTTTTCCACCCAGCTGTATAGACTTGGGGGATTGTAAATGTGCATTCAGAGCACTGGGAAAATGGGCACCCAGAGAAACCTCGGTCTCCTCTTCTGGTTCCCAGTGTATTTTAAGCACCTTCACGCCAGGTTCCTCCACCTCCATTTTCTTCCTCTAAGTGTGTGGCCTCCCCTTCATGAAATCATCTGTATCAATGTGAGAATAAGCCTTTGAAGAATCGTCACTAGGGTCTTTGAGCCTTCAAGAGTGCTCATCCCATAAATCACAACCTGTGGCTCTTCAGTCTACAAGAGTGGACTCCAGACTTCTGCCTGGATGAGTTGTTTTACTGACATTCATTTTTCTACTGTCCACACCTGGGGTTTTACTGTACATGTTTGTTTTAAAATACTTTCAGCATCATAAAAAGTTGCAAAATAGTACAGTGTTCTTCTATACCTTTAACTCAGCTTTCTCCACAGGTTAATATCTTGGAAAATCATAGTGCACTTTGCTATAGTCTGGATATTGCCCCCACCCCAACCCATGGTGTAGAAGGTGAAACTCACTGTGAGAGCATTAAGAAGTCAGTTTTGTGGGAACTGATTGAATCTTGAGGACTCTGCTTGCATAAAGGGATTAGTGCCCTTATAGAAGTGGCTGAGGGCCGCGCGCGGATGTAGCTCAGTGGTGCCACTGTCTGCCTCACAAGCACAAGGTCCTGAGTTTGATACCTGGTACTGAAAGAAAGAAAAGGGGTTGAAGAGAAATGTCCTAGCCCTTCTACCATAGGAAGACACAAGGAAGACACCACCTGTGAGGCCCAGGCCCTCACCCAGCATGAGATCTGCTGGAACCTTGATCTGAAAGTCTAAGCCTTGAGATCTCTGAGCCAGGGATTTCATGGTTGTTGATGAATGACCCCTTGGCAGTGCCTTCCTGTAGTAGTCTCAACGGACAAAGACAACTATTCTACAAACCAGGAAACTGACATTGACGCAGTGATACTAACTCAAGCCCAGACTGTTATTCAGATGTGAAAGCTTTTCATGCACACTTTTTAAATTTCTTTTTGGCATATAGTTAGTTCCACCATGTTTTAGTACATGAGTGGATTTTCAGAACCATATGACAATCTGGATACATATATCCCTTGTATCACCAAAAAGCAGCTCCTCCAGTGTGAATCTTATTTATTTATTTATTTATTTATTTATTTATTTATTTATTTATTTATTGCTGTACCAGGGATCAAATTCAGGACCTTGCATTTGCGAGGCAGATGCAGGGCCACTAAGCTAAACCTCTGCCCAACCTTAGTTTTTGAAAACTATAATTAGAAATAGATCAAATTTGTGTAACTTTCTCTGCTTAATCTATTAGAAAATTTTAGTGGGGAAGAAATATTAAATTTTAAAAGTGTTTTAGTTTAGCAGGAAGGATTTAGAAGATAGTAATGTATAAATAGGCACAACTCTGAGAGCTTCGTTTTGGTTATATATTATGTAACTGTAAGCTGCACTATTCTGGCCATTTATTGCCGCACAATAAGCCATGTTACACAAGTTTGCAATTTGGGCAGTGGGAAGGATCCTTCTCTGTTTCATGCAAGCATTAGGTGAGGTGGCTCTGCTGTTGCTCGGGAACTCGTTCCAAATCAGCTTGGTCACATGGGTGGCACGTTGTTGGCACTCAGTTTCTTCCCATGTTGTTGCTCTTCAGTGTGGCTTGTGCTTCCTTCCAGCATGGTGGCGGGGTCTTGAGAGCAAGTGTGAGACAGGAAATGGTAGCTACCAGCTGTGCAGGGCCTGGGTTTGGGTGCTGGGACAGCATCATTTCCAACTGTTAGTCAGGAGTCAGAGCCAGATCCAAGGAGAGAGGTCAGAATTCTCACTGTGTGCAGGGAAGCATCAACACCGTTGTGACCATAATTTAAAACTACCATTTTGCTTTTTGCATGAAATAATTTGTTACCTCTAAAATGCTTGGAGTCTTAAAAATTTACAAATTTTTTAAAAAGTAAGAGGTTCAAAAATTTCTTGAACTAGAGTTGTAATTATTTTGGAAAGGAGCCCTCCAAAAAAAGCCCTACTGAAATATATTTGGTAAAACATATGAGACGTGATGAATTTGTATATGCATATTTTTTCTATCTGTGGCTAATAACTTTTAGTAAGAGCAACAGGATGACATTGAATAGCTGAAATAAAAATTATAAGAAAGAAAAAACTAAAAATCTTTTTTTCTCTGGTAGAATTCAAATTTAGGACCAACACAAACAAGCAATTGATAAGATGCTTTGTCCTGAGACCAGTACCCTTAAGTCTTGCCTAATTGTAAAGATAGCACCCTTTCTGTGTACAAATGAGTCTTTTTTCTGAATCTCATATTTTTCAAAACATTTATTCAAAATTTGGGAATTTTGTGTGGAATTTCCTTTAAATATAAAAAGTAATAAACATATTTAATTATACAATGAGAATATTTATCAATTCTTACTGACAAAATGTTTTCAATGTTACTTTGTAAGACTAAGTTTAATTAGCTCAAAAATGAAATTTAAGAGTTTTAGTACTTGGGATATTTTATTTAAGAATTTTGGTTTCTGCACTAAAACCAAATAGCTAAAATTTTATATAAGTGATCTAAACTATGGAGGTTGAATTGAGCTGTCAATTAAAATGTGTTGTAATTATAAGCACTCATGTCTTATAAAATGACTGTAGAACAACTAAGCCTCTGGTAACATGGAAAATATATGCATTTATAGAAGTTTCCACTTGAACTTTCTAATTATGATTTAAAGTTGTAATATTTGACCTTCAGTTGTTGGTATTTTATAATTAAATTCTATTTTATTTTTATACGGCAGTTATATTTCTAGAATACATTTGAATGTATTGTTGAATGACTGTGTAGTTTAATGTTAAGATAATGTCTCAGAGAACTTGGTTCTTAAACTAGGTTTATCTCTTGCTAAAATGAGGATACACAGATAATATATAATTTTTAGGCTGAACCTCAAAAATTTGTACATATGTTGGTTTTTAAATTTTTTACCTATTCCATGGAAGCTAAGGCACTAGAAATCTTCATAATTCCTAAGTGAAAAATTTAAAGTTTTGGTTGATACCATGTCAAGATAGGCTCAGTGGGGACACTATCATCGTGACAACACACAAACACATAATCTGATATACTGCAGTGGCAAGAGAATGTTACATGTGAAATAATTGTGTTCTAATATTATCAGAACATAAACTATCAGAGAAAGAATTGGTTTATTCAGCCAGGAAGCAAATATCATGTATTTTAAGTACTAAGTTATTACAGGGGGATTAGATAGTGATAAAATCAAAGTATTGTGCAGAATTTTGCAGGAGAATCTGGTGGAGCTTCCTAGTCCTCAGAACACAGAATGAGATTCTTCTTACCAAGTGTTTTGACAATCTAGGCAGCCTCAACTCTGATTTCACCAGTGGAAAATGTTGTACTGCAAAAACCTCAGGCTGAAAACAAGCAAAAAGTCCAGAATCAACCCTATAGATCAGTGGAGTACATGCAGCCATGGGGAGTGAAAAATTATAATTGAAAAAGCAAGCCTATAAAATTTTGTTGAGCCAGGAAGCAATAACATTTTCACAAATAATAGGGTCATATGGAAGTTACTCTGTGTGTGTGCGTGCATGCATATGTGTGCACTAATTTGAAACTACTGAGCCTCAAAAGGATATGACAGATGTATACACAGTAAACCTGAAATATAAGTCCATAATGATTCACAGAGGAGAAAGTAATCACAGAAAGTAATGGCATAAATG